GAAAGTGGAGAGGGGTGACAGAATGCCTACAACCACTCTAATTTTGTTGCAGTTGAAAACAAGTCTATCTCTCTCCTCAAAGCATACAATTAAAAGACAAGCAACTATTTTGTTCTTTTAGTCCCATTGAGCAGTGTAGTGTTCTTGTATTACAGAGACAATGACAAGATGCACACTTGATTTATTTACAATGCTTCTAAACTGACCCAATCCTGAAGGAGTCTAAGCCGCGTAAAGCAATACACAAAATGAAAATACGTAATTACCGAACCAAAAAGTTAAATATAGAGAATAAACACCTCCATTCAGGACCACCAGGGCCTCAAGGCTCACTGAAACAATATAGCCTTGGCTTCCTTATGGAATATTAAGAAGGTAGGGATTTCATATACGTCTAGGGGGGAGTTCCATAAAGTGAGAGCTGCCATAGAGAAGACTTGTCATCTATCTCATACCTCATGAATCTCTCAAGGGAGGGGACTTTCAACAGGCCCTCTTTAGATGATTGGACTGGATGGGCAGATTTAATCCTGGTGATGTGTTGCCTGATATATCCTGGTGTCATGCCGTATAAGGTTTTACAGTAATTACCAGCACATTGAATTAGATCTGGAAATGTCAGCCTCACTAGGTAGTCCAGACCATGAAATCAACTCTCCAAGAAGGCTACAACTACTTTTATTAAGATTGGCTATAATAACAGAATCTTGCAAGTCTGATTGTGCTGAACCTCCTCCTCCTTCTTATAGTTTGGTGAATTAGGGAGGGGTCTGTCTGAGTTACTTCCAAATGTTATCTGGACATTCTGGACTTCAGAAATGCCCTTTTTGCCCAGGCAACAGCACCCACTTATGTCCATCAAGGTCCTCTTTCTTACTCTCTACATAGAATCTACTAGCAACCAAAGCAGTGACTTTAATATACGTATCCCTCTACATTGGCTGAGTTGCTCTGCCAACGGTCTCACTGCCACATTCTGTACTAGCTATAGCTTCCAAGTTACCTCCAACCTCATGTAGAGGACATTGCAGTTGTGGTCAGCACATCCTGCTCCAGGTAGGTCAAAACCAGGTGAAGTTGGGTGAAGACCTCTCCGGTCATGGTTTCTACTTGCTGCTTCAACAGGAACGGAAACTCCAGAAGGACCCCTCAAGCCCTGAATCACCTCCTCCAGGGAGAATGTATATCAAATCCAATCTGATATTGGGAGATGGAAATATGTTCTTCACCAAGTCTATTCAATGGAAATGCTTATGTCTTCAGACAAATCCATTTCTCTCCCATCTGCCTTTTTTTTTTTTTACCGAGGGGCTGGGGTGGTATGTGAATGGGCTGTTGATAAGAAGCAGCTTGGTGGGGAGAGGATTGTGTCCCTATGTTCTTGGTAGCAGAAGCAAGGAACAGTACATTTCAGACACGTGAGGCTTCCTTGTGCCCAGCCCTAGCCCTAAAGCAATGTTTGCCCCAAACCTGCCCCCCTTCTTAAGGGGGGCCTCGCAACCCCAACACATCACCCACA